TCTCTCTCTCTCTCTCTCTTTCTCTCTCTCTCTCTCTTTCTCTCTCTCTCTCTCTTTCTCTCTCTATTTCCTTATCATTATCTCTCGGTTTAACTCATGTCTCGATCGCCATTAGCCATAACTAATGTAACGTTTCATTTGATTCAATAAAACCGTTTATTTGGACAATCGTTTGGATTAATTGAGTGATTGGTGGCACTCTTGTGCACCACTCGTCCCTCAATAGGGAATAACGTGTGGAATATGCGGACAAACTTATGGTCTCCCGAAGAAGTGTCCGGCCGTTCACCCATTTTAATGAGTCATAATATCTCACAAATAAATAGTACTATATATAGAATAATGTATAAATAAATATATAAAATATACTAGTATATAGTAGTATATATACTAGTATGATATTAGACATTAGTTTTATATTTTTAGTTTAAAATTATTAAGCATTGTAAATCTTCAATAAAAATCTACAAACTCTAAATTTCAGCATAATTTCCCAATATATTTTGCTAATTATTTTAGCAATTATTTAATCTTGTGGATTTTATAGAAAATAATTTTTAAAAGTAGTAATTAATAAAGTCTTTATAAATATTTTAGTCATTTATTTGAAAGAGTTTATATATCTGTTATGAGAATATGAATTCAGACTATGGATTACCGGATATATGGTATTTATTGTAAGATTTATTGCATACAAATCTATGTTTAAAATTCATGAGTATTTGTATGACTTTATATTCTCATAATAGATAACTTATACTAAACACTAGTATCATAAACTAAAATTATAACAATAATATTAGTAGAAAATATTTAAAGTAAAATATTTATAAGAATCCTAAAATTGTTCATATTAGTTTATCAGTTTATTAATTTATTGTACAATACAAATATTAGGCAAATCTATAAGACCACATTATCTACTTTATTCATATTTATACTGGCTAATATACGTATTCTATTCAAGACTAATTGTATGTGAGACTTATTATGCTTTTATATTAAAATTATATTACTATGAGATATACTTATTAAATGATTAATGTTATGATAAATGTTAATGATATTTAAATATTAAGGAAATGTGCAAGCAATTGCGTGTTATGTTAAATAAATATAGTAATAAATTGAATCAATTTACCAACACTTGCTTAATAAACAGAATTATCCTTACTATTTATAATTTTATAGTTTATGATTGCAAAATGAATTACGTTAAACTTGTAAATATCCAAATAATAGTATTTTTCCAACTATTTATTCACTGCTATTATAACTGTTTCTATTGTAATATTAAATATTTATAAACATATTTTGTAATAGTACTAGCACTCATACTATTATAGTAGCAAAATATAAAGCTTTAAATTGTTTATTAGTAAAAACTATTAAAATTATGAAATAGGAAAATATGATAATTTTTGTTTGTTTTTTGAATAATATATTTAAATTAATTAACCCTAATTGGTAAGGTATATTCCTATGATATATTTTGGGTGAATGCATAATTTATTATCTATATAAACATTGCAAACAAAATTAAATGTGTTTGTTAATTTGTCATAATCTCAACTTTTATATTTTAATAAAACTTTAACAAAAATCTATACGTTGTCTGAACATTGAGTTTCAATATCTACCACAAGACATGTCGGACTCGGATATAGTGATCAGTGGAATGAGTGGTCGGTTCCCACTGTCGGACACCACCGATGAGTTCGCGAAGAATCTGTTCGATGGCATCGATATGGTTACCGAAGGAGACTCCCATTGGCCTAAAGGTTAGCCATTTGAGTATATCAGATTATAGTTAATTAAATGTAAAGCTAAAATTTTAACATTATAATGTAAAGTTAATTTTTAAATATTACAGGTCATTTATTTTCCATAAAATATTTTTAGCTCATTTACAACTACGAAACATAAATATATTTAATACTATTATACAATATATACTAGAAAATATAAACTAGATAATGTCAAATATACTTAAACAACAGATCACAACCATGCAAAATAAATGAACGAGTAATCTTTTTGTGCTAATAATAATTTGATTAGATTTATACGACATGTCCGGCCGAATGGGACGTATCGTAGAGTTTGACAGATTTGACGCCCAATTCTTTGGTATGACGGAGAGTATGGCCCATAAGTATAGCCCTCAACTGCATATGCTGTTAGAGTCGACCTACGAGGCCATTGTGGACGCAGGTATATGACCTCTGATAAAATCAAATGGATAGTATTGTAACGAATATATTCGCACAATAGGCATAAACCCGGATAGTCTGAGAGGCAGTAGGACTGGGGTATATTGCGGTGTCATTATGTACGCTAAGTGCGATGGGTATCAGGAGTACGCACAGCCCGACCACAGGGCCAGTCTCAACGATACGATGATGGAGTCCATCAACGGCGCCAAAGCCTTCTACGCGGCCCGCATGGCCTTTGCCTTTGACTTCAAGGGCCCGGCTATTATCGTGGACACCGCCTGTTCATCCAGTTTGAGTGCATTTGCAATGGCCGTCAATGATATGAGATTAGGTATTGTATGGTACCTCTTGTTGCCATTATGTTAATGTAATGGATATCATATAACATGAGATGAATAGTTACAGAGAGTACTCTGAAAAAATTCTTAAAAACTATAATTTATAAATATGACCAGGGCAAATCGATTACGCTATAGTGTGCGGCACTCACATGAACTTAGAGCCGATGATCTATCAGTTACAACAGGAGTTAGGCTTTTGTTCGCCGAGAGGTATATCCGCCGTATTGGACGAGTCGGCCGANTGACCAGGGCAAATCGATTACGCTATAGTGTGCGGCACTCACATGAACTTAGAGCCGATGATCTATCAGTTACAACAGGAGTTAGGCTTTTGTTCGCCGAGAGGTATATCCGCCGTATTGGACGAGTCGGCCGACGGTTTCGTGAAGGGAGAGGCCGTGTGTTGTGTTCTCCTACAACGCCGTAAGAGCGCCCATAGGGTCTACGCTAAGGTACTGTCAGCCCGGGTGGGAACGGATGGTAACAAAAAGTTTGGGATATTTCATCCGTCCAGTGAAACACAGGAGGAGTTGATGACCGCATCGTATAAGGAGGCAAATATAGACCCCCTCGACATCACCTATTTTGAGTCACACGGCACCGGCACCAAGGTACGATATAATGTATTTAGTTCAAAATGTAACATGATATTATTTAATATGTTCTTAGGTGGGAGACCCGCAAGAAATGAAAGCCATATACAATGCTTATTGTCGAGCCCCGGGACGTATAAACCCCCTACCGGTGGGCGCCCTCAAGAGCAATATGGGTCACGCGGAGTCGAGTTCAGGTGTGGCCGCTATTATCAAAGTGTTGATCGCATATGAAAATGAATGCATTCCTCCTAATCTGAACTGTAAACAACTTAAACAAGAGTTACTCCAATACTTCCCCCCATTATTGGCAATTAATCAAAAATATCCATACAAACCTGGTTAGTCTTATTATCAGTATTTTATTATAACAATTTAACTAATTAAAAGTATTTAATGCGAAAATTTCATAAGTATTTATTAGTTAAACCAAATAATTTGTAGATATAAAAGTAGGTCTAAAACTTTATTCATATTTACTAACTTACTTACTTTTAATTATTAATATTTCTATTTAAAATCTACTTGGTAGGAATGGCAGGTATTAACAACTTTGGTTTGGGTGGTGTGAACGCACACGTATTGATTGAACCCAACTATAAGTTGGAAACCAATGATAGTCTAAGAATCGCTGAAATGATTCCCAGAATTGTGAACATTTGCGGCAGAAATGAACATTCGGTTCAATATATGTTTGATTTCATTGAGAATAATCCCAAAAGAGTGACGAAACACTTTTTGGCACTTTTGACACAAACCATGAAATACACACCAAATGTGAATTCATCCGGAATGATATACAGGGGTATTATTTTGAGAAATATACTGTAAATACTGTAAAGTTTTAATAATATTTTGTTTAACCTTTAGGTTCAATGATAATAAAGAAAGTGTCGGAAAATAATAATGAGATTCAATACGAGTATAAGAAACAGATGGGAGTTATGAAAGACAAAAAAGTGAGACCCCTTTGGCTAATGCATTCCTCCAAATCTGAACTGTAAACAACTTAAACAAGAGTTACTCCAATACTTTCCTCCATTATTGGCAATTAATCAAAAATATCCATACAAACCTGGTTAGTCTTATTATCAGTATTTTGTTATAACACTTTAACTAATTAAAAGTATTTATTGCGAAAATTTCATAAGTATTTATTAGTTGAACCAAATAATTTGTAGTAGATATAAAGTAGGTCTAAAATTTTATTCATATTTACTATTTTACTTACTTTTAATTATTAACATTTCTATTTAAAATCTACTTGCTAGGAATGGCAGGTGTTAATAACTTTGGTTTGGGTGGTGTGAACGCACACGTATTGATTGAACCCAACTATAAGTTGGAAACCAATGATAGCCTAAGAATCGCTGAAATGATTCCCAGAATTGTCAACATTTGCGGCAGAAATGAGGAATCAGTGAAACATATGATGCATTTCATTGAGAATAACCCCAAAAGAGTGACGAAAGACTTTTTGGCACTTTTGACACAAACCATGAAATACACACCAAATGTGAATTCATCCGGAATGATATACAGGGGTATTATTTTGAGAAATATAAGTACTGTAAAGTTTTAGTAATATTTTGTTTAACCTTTAGGTTCAATGATAAATTTCTTTCACAGCCTTTTATTATTACTCTAAGTTATGCTCATATTCTTTGTCTACCCTCAATACTTTCTGTTCTTTCACTCTGGGGAAACCGTACTGTTCCCCGGTTTGGGCGGTCAGTGGTCAGCAATGGCTAAGGCTTTGATGCCAATCAAGACATTTGCCGATAAAGTGGAGGAATGCCATCAAATACTACAAGAGTTTGGAATCGATTTAAAGGATCTGTTGTTAAGTGAAGACAAGACACTGATGTCCACAATGTTATCGAAATTCTGTGCGACAACTTCGACAACTGCTCTACAGATAGCACTCATTGAAGTGATTAAAGCCCTCGACATCACACCCGACGGCATAATCGGCCACTCGTTTGGTGAGATCGCCTGCGCTTACGCTGACGGGTGTCTGTCCACTAGGGATGCCCTTATGATTGCCTTTTCCAGAGGGTTTCACACCGAAAGTGAGCATGGTGTTGGCATTCCTAAAGGGTTGATGGCAGTGGTGGGGCTGTCCAGGGAGGAGGCGCTCAAGTGGTGTCCAAAAGGGGTATTCATTGCTTGTAATAACGCTAAGGATAATGTAGTTGTTTCCGGTAATCATTGAACGTACGCATAGGGTTTCATAATATATGTTTTAAATTGATTTGAATTTTTAGGTCCAATGAATGAAATGAAAGAAATGATCGACAACTGCTCTACAGATAGCACTCATTGAAGTGATTAAAGCCCTCGACATCACACCCGACGGCATAATCGGCCACTCGTTTGGTGAGATCGCCTGCGCTTACGCTGACGGGTGTCTGTCAACAAGGGATGCCCTTATGATTACCTTTTCCAGAGGGTTTCACACCGAAAGTGAGCAAGAAATTGGCATTCCTAAAGGATTGATGGCAGTGGTGGGGCTGTCCAGGGAGGAGACGCTCAAGTGGTGTCCAAAAGGGGTATTCATAGCTTGTAATAACGCTAAGGATAATGTAGTTGTTTCCGGTAATCATTGAGCCTACGCATAGGGTTTCATAATATATGTTTTAAACTGACTTTAATTTTTAGGTCCAATGAATGAAATGAAAGAAATGATTAAAACATTGGAAGAAAACTCAGTATTTGTGCGGACACTACAGAGCAGTGAAATCCCATACCATTCCCAATATATGGCACCGGCAGCCAAGAAAGCTATGGTTTCATAATATATGTTTTAAATTGATTTGAATTTTTAGGTCCAATGAATGAAATGAAAGAAATGATTAAAACATTGGAAGAGAACTCAGTATTTGTGCGGACACTACAGAGCAGTGAAATCCCATTCCATTCCCAATATATGGCACCGGCAGCCAAGAAATCAACAGAAGTTCTCAAACAAAAGATCATTAATCCGAAGCTAAGATCCAAGAAATGGTTGTCCACTGCTCTACTGTCTGAGCCAACTGAGGAGGCGTTGAAATATGCTTCGGTCGAGTATTTTGTGTATAACCTAATGAACCAGGTCTATTTCTATGAACGCCTTCAACAACTGCCATCCAATGCCATAGTTCTAGAGCTGAGTCCTCACCCAATATTTGTGCGATCGGTGACCGAAACACTGGAAAACTCGACATATATATCGCTATTGAAAAAGGACTCAAACCATACAAATCTGGATCTGTTTTTATCGGGTTTGGCAAAGCTTTACGAATTGGGTATCAATTTGTCGATCGATAAGCTCTACCCACGAGTGGAGTGGCCGGTGGCCAGGAATACACAGTCTATCGGATCACTCATCAAATGGGATCATAGCTTCAAATACTCGCATAAATTATATCCCGAAAACTACAACCGATTCAATGCCTCCGATATGAATATATACGTCGATCCCATCGCCAAAGAGGACGCCTTTTATTTGGATCATTCGCTGAATGATAGGGCTATATTCCCGGGGGCCGGGTATCTCATGTTGGCCTGGCGTATGTTGGCAACGAGTAGGGGTCATATGTGGCATCAGGTGCCCGTAATCTTCGAGAACGTCCACTTCAAATCATTTATAGTTTTATCTCAAACCTCTACCACACATATTAAAGTTAAATATTATCCCACGTCAGGTATTATAAATTTTATAAATATTTCAGATTGATAATTTTATACTAATTGTCTAAAAACAGTATCTTTATAGACACTAGATTTAAATATTCACTTGACAGTTTTATTTATGATAAATATAAGCTACGATATTTTGTAAAATGTTAACTCAAGTAGCATTTAATTAATTTAATTATAAGGACCATAAATATTTTAATATAGAGTGTATATCATCTAGTTACCGTATATAATATATAATAACAGTTATTCGTAAATTACAAGTAGTCTTATATTATAATATTTGAGCATAACTTCACTATACTTTATAATATTTTGCAGATGAGTTTGTAATCATCGATAATAACGGGTCCATCTGTGCTACGGGTACTATACGGGGACCGACCGATGGGGTGGTTCTCACTGCACAACATAAGATATACGGCAAAAATGGGCAGCACGTGGATGACTGCGAGTACATACTGGACAGGCATGACATTTACAAGGAATTCCAGATTTTAGGCTTTGATTATGGGCCAGAGTTTCAAAGGTTACAAAAAGTAGGGACAAACAGTTTCCGCGAGGCGTATGGCATAGTGGAGTGGACAGGCAATTTTGTCTCATTTCTGGACAGCCTCTTTCAGTCGATGGTTGTGGCGATGCCCACACGTAAGCTAATGGTGCCGGTGATGCTGAGACGTCTAAAAGTAGATCCGCGGGTACTGTTTAAGAAAATCAAAGAAAACCGCAATGATGTAGGTGCTGGTGGTGATCAAGGTGTTGGTAATAACGTGGATACCGGTGTCGGTGTATCTGTCGATACATTTATGGGGATAGCCGACAGAAATAGGGAGAGATGAAAATCAAACAAAACCGCAATGATGTAGGTGCTGGTGGTGATCAAGGTGTTGGTAATAACGTGGATACCGGTGTCGGTGTATCTGTCGATACATTTATAGGGATAGCCGACAGAAATAGGGAGAGATTTGCTCTCATGTCGGCTAACATTCCCTTCTCTTATGACTATAAATGTCGACAATTAGTGTCATATGGCGTGGAAATGGAGGAGATGTCCGCATATATTATACCCCGTAATACGGATAATAAGGATTTAGTACTCGATTCCTACGGATTTCATGCAAACGAAGATTTATCGGCTATAGATGAGTGCAATAAAGTCACTCTCAATAGATATCTTGAGGTAATGTCTATAATTACTTTAATTGTAATTTAATAATTATCTCAAGTTTTCAATTTAATTATAACAGGTTTGCAAATCAATGGCAATGAAGGCAAATCAAATTGGTTTCAAACAAATGAAATGCGATTTCAATTACCAGTCGTTCACTGAGGATGTGATACAAGAGTACAGAAACGGAAACAATGAAAATCATGTATTGTTTCGAGTGTTGGATAAACTATTGTCAGAAATTACTGATGAAAACAACAATCTTAAAAACAAACCCGAAATGAATAGCATATTGAATAAAATCCTCGAAAATCCTGAATACGATTGGAGTCGAGATATTGTGAATCAGGTCTCAAGTAATGAACGTATGATACGAACAATTCTGGACATTGTCTGCGAAAACTTTGCCTCAATTTTTGAGCTGAAAATATCGGAAATCAATTTCAGCAGAGCTCTGATGGCCACAGATGTGAATCAGTTTATTAAACACTTTCGTATGGTTCCCATAGAAATGGACTATAATTTGATTGTCAAATCAAAAGAGGATGTATTGGATGAGTATAAACATAATGCCACGGAATGGGATCTAAATCTGGTTAACATGCCATTAAAACCTTCACATTTGGTTATAGTGAGAGATACACAAGACTTATGGGGTTTAGATTTGGATCAATTCATACAAGACTTGTATGGCTTAACCATATTCAATGGCTTCCTATTAACAGTATTCCGGTATAAGTTCACTGAACCGGAACTGGCGTTGAATTCATTGAATGGAAAGAAAGTCCTAAATAATCGTGATTTAGAGACTCGGATCAAAAGTTTCCTAACAATTGCCAAAAGTGTTGGCTTTCGTGTGATTTGCAATAAATGCGATACAATTGGATCCGTTGTCGTACTGTTGAGAAAAGTGGATGAAATCCCTAAAATTCCGGATCAAAATCATATCATTTATATTAACAGTGATTATAAGCAGTGGTTTCCAGTACTGAAAGAAAAGATAAACTTGCCAAAAGATCACTCAAATATATGGCTCATTGCAAACGATTCACCCAATAATGGTATCATTGGTTTCATGAATTGCTTGCGTTTAGAGTCGGGGAAGAGATTGAGATATGTTTTCAATTATGACACCAAATGTGAGACGAAAATAGATTTCAATTGTAAGCCGTTTTGCGATATATTGGCCAACGATTTGGTAGCAAATGTTATCAAAGACGGAAAAGTGGGGACTTATAGACATATAAAACTGCCACAAAATTATGACAAAACAGTTTCCAACGAGTATTTCTTAAATTTGGACCAAGCTCAAGATATATCAGCTCTTATGATATGTTTTCAATTATGACACCAAATGTGAGACGAAAATAGATTTCAATAGTAAACCGTTTTGCGATATATTGGCCAATGATTTGGTGGCAAATGTTATCAAAGACGGAAAAGTGGGGACTTATAGTCACATAAAACTGCCACAAAATTATGACAAAACAGCTTCCAACGAGTATTTCTTAAATTTGGACCAAGCTCAAGATATATCAGCTCTTAAATGGTATGACAAGAGATGCATTACATTGGCAAACCCTGCCTACCTTTTCAATGGACAGTTGGTTGATAGAGTTAAGGTCAACGTATATAGCGCTGGCATTACATTTCATGATGTACTGGTTGCTTCAGGTACTGTATTAATATATAGTGAATATATATATATATATATATATATATTATATTGATTAAAATTCCAACCTTTCAGTTAATAGCATTTTAAAACAACCACTTTACTATTTATTAAAAATTTAAATAAACCAGGTCGTATACCTATGGGCCCAGAATCCATATACTCTGACTGCATGATTGGTTGTCAATTTGCGGGTCGGCGTACAGATACCGGTCAAAGGGTTATGGGGTTTGAATTTAGATGTTATGCTACATCAGTCTATGCGCCCATCGATGTACTAATGTCTATACCTGACCACTGGTCTATGGACGACGCCGTATCCATATTAGGTACATACGATACCGCGTATTATGGGTTGATTCAAATGGCAAGATTGAGGACAGGTATAGAGTTTTGAATTATTTTTAAAAAATAAATGGATTTATAACTAATATATAAACGTTTTATATTCAAAGGCGAAAGTGTTTTGATTCACTCGGCGGCGGGAGGTGTGGGTCAGGCGGCCCTCAATATATGCAAACACTATAAGTGCGATATCTATGCGACGGTCGGAACCGATGAGAAAAAGGAGTTTTTGATCAAAGAATACAACATTCCTTCGAACAGAATATTCAACTCAAGGGATACTCTCTTTAGGAATCAAATCAAAGAATTAACGGAAGGAAAGGGAGTTAATGTTGTGTTGAATTCATTATCAGGAGATAAACTGATAGCCAGTTACGAGTGTGTGGCCAATCACGGGAGGTTTGTGGAGATAGGACGGTATGATATGGTTCAGGCGACCAAACTGTCAATGTATGAGTTCACCCGTAATATAGACTTCATAAGTGTTGTGTTGGATCTCTATATTCTTGAAAATCCGGAATTTTTGCCCAATTTTTTTAAATGGGTTCAAAATAATTGCAGAAATGGTTGTGTAAAACCTATTAATACAACTGTATTTAAGGCGGACGATGCGATCATGGCTTTCCGTTATATGACAACCGGTAAACACATCGGGAAAGTAGTCATTAAAATACGAGACGAAGAGTGCGATAGAAATGCTATTAAAACTCCTCTCAAACCGGCGATGGATATGATAACGACTGTTAAGACTTTCGTTATATGACAACCGGTAAACACATCGGGAAAGTAGTCATTAAAATACGAGACGAAGAGTGCGATAGAAATGCTATTAAAACTCCTCTCAAACCGGCGATGGATATGATAACGACTGTTAAGACTTATTTCAATCCAAACAAAGTCTATATAATAACCGGAGGTTTGGGTGGTTTTGGACTGGAATTGGTTCAATGGATGCACTCATTGGGTGCCCGAAAATTTGTGGTCACTTCGAGGTCAGGGGTTAAGACTGATTATCAGAAATATACCATAAATCGTATCCAAAAATTCTTTGATAACAACAAATACTTTTCGTGCGATTTATTGGTTTCGACGGCCAATGGATTGACACCCGAAGGCTCCCAACAACTGGTAAATGAGGCGAAAGGGTTGGCACCCATTGGAGGGGTATTTCATTTGGCACTTGAATTGAATGATTGCTTATTAGAGAACATGGAGTTTGAAAAGTTCTGTTCAACTGTTGACACAAAACATAAGATATTCTCAAACTTGGATCAAATCACACGAAGACTTGACTATAAATTGGATTATTTCGTAGTCTTTTCATCGATAGCTTGTGGTAAAGGAAATGGAGGTCAGAGTAACTACTCGTTTGGGAACTCTCTGTGCGAACGGATTTGCGAAGAGAGACGAAGGGATGGTCTGCACGGACTGGCCGTACAGTACGGACCCATCGGTGATGTGGGAGTACTCGAGGGTACGGATCAAGTCATGGGATTGACAGCAATGAGGAAACAACGGATCCACTCGTGTTGTGATGTTTTGGACAAATTGCTGGCAATTAGTGAACCCATTGTTACCTCTTATGTCTGCAATGTATGCAAACTTATTATCAAGTGATGGGATTGACAGCAATGAGGAAACAACGGATCCACTCGTGTTGTGATGTTTTGGACAAATTGCTGGCAATTAGTGAACCCATTGTTACCTCTTATGTCTGCAATGTATGCAAACTTATCATTAATTTTCACAATTATATTAATATATAAAAACTTGTGAACATTAGTTGCAAACCACGGAAACCGGGAAACAAGGGAAAGGCTTGCGAGTGATGTCTGACTTTTGGCGGACTCTCGGCATAGACGCGAATACGACTCCCAATGAGACAACTTTGGGTGAAATAGGGATTGAGTCGATGTTTGCGGCGGAACTGCAACAGGAATTGCAGAGAGAATGCAAACGACAGATATCTCTGACACAGTTTAGACGCATTACGATTGGGATACTCAAGGAGTATGAGAAGGGGAACGGTATCCACATCGACCACATCCTCGATAGCTAGCAAAATAAACAGTAAAACTATATAACAGACCTATTCAGGTATTCTTATCATTTTTAATAATTTAGTTATAATTTTTGTTATATCTAAAAAATAATTGTTTTGTAGTATTTTTATTAGTAATATTATAATAACTATAGTTTATTATAATTAATTTTATAATTCTGTAATAGTTATAATTTTCACTATTTAATTTTTGTAATATTAAACAAGCATTACAGTACACAATCAGTTTTATTTAGTATTAATAGTTTGCATTTCATTACTCCTATCAATCGTTTTGTCGTTACAATTATTTGTTTGTTTTGTTTCAAACATACAATTGGATAACATTTGAAATAATCCAATGAATGGTAACTCAAACATCATTGCCAACGGAATCATTACAATCATATTGAGGCAAATAAATACAAACACGTAAACCATAATAAGAGGTATTGTCTGTAATTTAGGCTTAATTTCTGGAAATATTTGCAATAAGTATAAGAGGAAAATGAGATGAAAAGCATAATATGTATATAACTGTAAATAACAACATTTATGTGTTATGTAATATTTATGCCTTAAATATATGATTAAAAGATTTTTATTTATGAAATTAAAAATAAATATTTCCCATAAAATCTGTTTTGATTTATTCATGCTTATAAAATGTTGACTAATTTTTAAAATATCCTTGTTTCAATGTTCAACCATATAGTGAATTTAAATTATTTAATGAGATCCATGAGTTTCACAAATAATGTGAACACATATGTATATAACTGTAAATAACAACATTTATCATTAAACATAATTAGTAAAAACTATGATATTTCACAATACATACCGTATAAACACTCATCTCATTAATGATAAATAATTTCCAACAATAAAACCCAATCGTATTTTTGGCACATTTTTCTATCAATCCCATTAACTATTCATAAATGATTTTAAATTATTAATTTAGACCTCAATATTATTTATAGAAAAATAAACATATAAAATACCTTTAATTTATGACAAATACGAAGTGAAAATTTATTATCAAAAGATGAAATCATAAGTGTATTCAAAATACGATACGTTTTATTGGTCTCATTATAGACAAGTGTTGCGGACATACACACAATAAATGATAAAACTGTCAAAACTATTGTCGAAAATATGAAAAATTCTTGGACACCATACAGGGATTCACCAAATATTGCGTGAAATAAAGTCAACGCCACTATAAAACCAAATTCAAACCACACGTAAAATAAGTATTTACACCAATAATCCGTGATTTCAGTGAATTCATGATGTTTTACAATAATATTTTTGTGTATTTTATTAATACGTTTATTCCAATCATATTTTGTATCAATAGTCTTATATTGATGTTTAAGTTTTAGGTTATATTTTTGAAACTCCATGTAATAGTAATGTGAAAAACATATAAAATAATACAAATTAAATAGGAAACTGGTAGTGGAGTAGTGTACAGTAAACCCGGTTAAACACGACCAGAATATTCCGTATATTAATGTGTTAGTGAGAGTCGAGTACAGCATGTATGACATAATTGACATTAAAAATACAACCAGGGATATACCCCATTGAGTATAGAGTTTGGTTGACTTAAATATTATTTGTGATTTATAATCTAATGAATCCAATGGTATATCAAGAGTTTGATCAATGTTTTCATCTATAAATAGATAGTTTTGTTGATTTGAATAATATATGAAACCAATAATCTGTGTAAATATGACCCCAAATATAGGGATTATTAAATATAAATTGAGTATTGATTTGAGTTTCCATTTGAACGCAAAGTCACCGATAATTAGAGAATATTCTTCACAATTCATTAATACTGACGACAATTGTTGTAAAAATAAAATGATATTTGAGGCTAATATTAAGTACGGGTTGTATAGCATTGGACGTTGTTTTGAACCGCATTTCCACTGCGAGAGACCCATACGATAGAGACATTGATTTAGATATAATAGGTTTGTTTTAATTGTATTATATTTGAGGCTAATATTAAGTACGGGTTGTATAGCATTGGACGCTGTTTTGAACCGCATTTCCACTGCGAGAGACCCATACGATAGAGACATTGATTTAGATATAATAGGTTTGTTTTAATTGTATGTTGCTTGTTTATTAATCTTATCAGTGTACTATCAGCCATTTCACTAAAGTAAGTCTATATGTATATTTTTTTTATAAAATTAAATTATATTACATTTTTAAGTAGCACTTTTACATTTCAAGAGTATATTTCAATTATATGATTTTATTATTTTTTTATTTCAAATAATAATGAAATCAAGATTCATTTTATGAATTACTTATACAGTACAATATACTGTACAATATAATATAGAATATTAAGCAATTTATTGCGTGATTTGCTCATATTTCTCATAAAAATATGATTTATTAATAGATTTATTATTTAAATAAATAAAATTAGAAATCAAAAACAGTATAAACAGATTTCAAAACATGTAATTATTTTTGGGCAAACATCATTAAGTATACACTTGTTTATTATGTAATTAACAATATTTTATTTGTAAGGGTATTTATTGTTATAGTAAACTAATAATTTATAATACAGTAACAAAGTTGTTGATCAATTTGGGTCTAGACACTATTGCATAATTAAGGTCCATAAATTTTAAATTGTTTACATTAAGTTTTAGTTTATATGTTATCGTATAATAAAATAATTTGTTACAGTACAGTGTATTACTATGTAGTTAATGATATTAAAAAATAATATATTTTATACGATTATTTTACTTATAGTTCATAATTTTCTAAATAATTGAGCATGGTTGCCTATAAATTAAAGGGATATCATGTCATCAAATCTCGAAGTTTTACCAAAAGTGCGAAAACGTATCCATAGAGCTGTAATCATAGATAATATTTCATTGAATGAGTATTAAATATACCGATCACTACCTCCTGAGCTTTCAAGTGATTAATTATAAATAATTTCCAACAATAGAAACCAATAGTACTTTTGGCACACTTTTCAATGAATCCCATTAACTATGAATGAAACAATGAAATGCAAATAAAAACAAATATAAATTTAC